CCATGGGACATAGAGATTTTTCACCGAGACTACAAAGGACAGTTTGATGTTCAAACTGTTTTTTTGAATCTGATTCTTCATAAGGTGCATCAACTTCTATCTCAAAATGATTGAGGACTCACTGAGCAGACAATGATCTGTATTATACGAGGACCTGCATCTGTGATTTTAATGAACACAGGAGAACCTTCCCGTGCTGCAAGAAACAACAAAATAATGGACCTGAAATGGGGGTTAGACCACACTACCCCAGGAATGATTGCTGCCTCTGCTATCCTAGTAAGCAGTTCCAAACTCATTGTATATTGAGATGACTAACGTACACTGGCTTTTTTAGGCTCGTTGGGCCCTATCTCCCGACAAATGCCTCAAAGAAAAAGGGGTCAAATCTGGTGTTCACTGGCACAACGATTTTGACAATTACCTGGAATTTCTTTCAAGCGGTCTACAAAAGCAAAAAAAAGTGTGCTCAACATATTCCGAGAGTGGGATAAAATCCTTTTCCCCGACACTGAACACGGACTTGGGGGCCATCTTAGCAATACAGACAGGGATAAGCTGATGGAAGGAGTGATGGCAGCATTAAACAATAATGACGATGAAATTGAGCTGGGAGACCAAGAGATGATTTCTGAAAGAGGCTTTGAAGCTGGGGGGGGGGCTTGAGGGTGGGAATAGTAATGAGGAGAGAAGCAATGTCAACGGAAGAGAGAACTGATGCATGCATCTGTACAGATAGCATAGATAAGATAACAAATGAACAGATAAATGAATGTTATTAGATCACATCAATAATTATGATCAATCAATCTGTTTGTGTCTATGAGGTTATTGATGGACCGGATAATAACCAAGTCCAAACGTGAATTCAAGAAACTGTCAATGTATGTTCAAGACTTTGGAAGACAAGATGGACAAAGAGAAGGGCAGGTTTGTACAGTCTTTACTGACACAATTAGTATTAACAATAGTTATGATCGAGGTTATGGATAGACTGGATAATGCCAAGTCCAAACACGAGTTCAAGAAACCAAGACTATGGGAGACAAGATGGACAAAGAGAAGAGCAGGTTTGTACAGTCTTTACTGACACAATTATTATTAACAACAGTTATACAGCAGTATGATGACTTTTTTATACATAGTGTTGCCAACATTGCTAACCTCTCATCCTTTGGCTATTAAATAGCTCTTCTCCATACTCACTTTACTTTGGCGCATACTCATGAAGAACCCGCTTCAAGACTTCTGTCTGTTCTCGGATTGCTCCTCCAATATCTTCCTTTAAGATTCTTCCCACCCCTTCAAGATTCTTCTCAATGCACTGTAATGTCTCTTCTAAGTCTTGAGAGACTCGGACACCTGACTCTGACTTTTCAGCCTTTCTTCTTTTTGGATTAGGTGGTGTAAGTTTTGTCTGCAACACAAGATATCAGCGGGACTTGTGATGGGATGTAGGAGTCAAGGGACAGACACTCTCAAGTATCTTTTAACATTAAGTGTACAGTAAGATGTTGAATCACCCGAAATTAGTATGTTCAACATACCTGCTCATTGATGTTACTGATATTATTATCCCTCTTGTTTAGCCGACGCTTCTGAGTCAAGTTGTCTGTAGGTATTACTGTGGTATCTGAGTCTTTTCCATCCTTGCCAATTGTCTCAACAATACTGTCTGTGCAGTTCTTTAAAAACCGGTGAGTTGTGGGGGTTATTACAGCATAATTGATAGTCTTACTTCTTTGTTTTTGTCCATGATCTTGCCAGATGTATTACAGGCTTTGTCATCAGAGAGTATTATGTGTTCTTGAAAATTGGGGGGTGTTGGAGGTGAGCTATGCACATCTTTATATTGTTCAAGTTTATTGTACTTATATTGCCCCTTCGTATCCACAGGACAACCTTGACCAAACCCACCACCGCTCAAATATGATAGCACACCATCAGATGAATGTGTGCTTGTAGATCTGTACCTCAACTGGGGAGAGACTTTGCCTGAAGAGGGTGGTATGACTGGGGGAGGTGTGCTGGGTGTTGACAGGTGACTTGGTGCGGGTAAATGCTCTGCACAATTTTTTTTCCATTTTGCTGACTCTGTGTCTCCATTAAGCGCCAGCCAGTGTTGTTCAAGATCACCAGGACCTTTGGCTGATTGCGCAAGGACTGTAGCAGCAGCATTATTAAAAGAAGACGGCTTGGAGCTGTTATCGGACTATAAAGTCTCTTCAACAAGAGGAGTGAAACTACGATGTCGACATTTTCCTGGGTTTGATGGCATGATATTCTGTTGTTTCAGCTTCAAGCTTCAAGTCCAGGTGAGCGAAGATCTACTATGTATTACTAATTGACTAATATGATGTCGGAGGCTCCACAGAGTGCCACAGAGCATATATAAACAGGCTATGTCGCTCTGTCGCAGACTCATTTCTTTTTTTATACCATCAATGCCAAAAAACCAAGCTCAATCAAAGTCACAGATCACCAAATTGCACTGCTTCAGCTACAAGGTATTTACTGGTACGTAGGCTCGGCTTATACTCATCCATCAGTAACTCACCCCTAATTTTTGCTACAGACCAACAAGCCCTGGCATATAACAAAGCTCTCCATAGCTATTATGTTCACACTATGTGCAAGACAAACATGCTCATTGTCAAACCAAGGCTTGCATGTAAATAGTCTTGCTTGAGTTTGTTTTGTACCACATTCTATTATATTTAGATTCCATCTGAGTCTTGCTGTTATCAAGTTGTAGTACCAGTTGGGGTGTAGGCCAATTACTAGAGTACTTAGTTGTTGTTGCTACGTCTGCAAATGAATTCTGGTTTTTGCTATTCTCCATTCATTGATAATTATGGCCTGAAAGAGCCAATGATAATGATAATTACACCAAAATGTCAAAGCAGACTGAACAAAACCAAACCAGGCATGTTCAGCCCAATCAAAACCGGCTATCACTATCTGTGCATTCAGGCTGAATTTGCGGGCATCAGGAAATTTGTGAAAGTATGATAAGGCCTTATAATGCCTCATAATGTGTATAATATATATAATAGGCATCAGGCTGATAGTCACATTTATAAGGCTTTATAAGGCTAGATAGAGTATGGGATTTTTCACCAGCAGTATCAGTCTGGCAAAGTAGATATGGAATTATAAGGCTACCAGTAATATTTGGTGCCGAAAAATAACATTGGGTTGTGACCTGATAATTTGTCACAGCCTATTATATTATTTGCTATATTTTATGAGTAACTCTTTGTATTTATGTATCTATCAATGTTTGTAGATTTTATTACTCCGAAATTCAACTTAATTAATAATGGCATGATTATGTAAGTAATTTATAAGCTAAATTTTCTCTCTTACATTTTGCACAAGTAAGGTTTGAACTTGAGATTACATGGTCGGAATCTTAACTGCTGCAGGTAATCTAACCTCTGAGCCATTAGACCACATGCCCTTGTGCTGGTTTTATTTGATGATTAGCATTGATTATACAAAAAACTCGCAAATTTTACTAAGTCCTCATCTCTGTTGTGCAGCCACCTACACTGTGATTAGTCATGTTTAAGCACTCCAAAAAAAATACTAAAATTGTGTTGATTATAAGGCCTTATAATCCATGATAAAAATAGAGCAGAATGATGGAAAATGATAAATTGATATATGTGATTATTTTGATGATACCCAAACCATAATAATTATGACAAGTGTAAATTACCTGACAATGACTATTGACTTCCTGTCAGGCTGACAACTCCGGATTTTCCATTATTTCACCGTGTATGATCTGATACAGGTGGACAAGTCTGGGAACACATTACAAACTCCGTCTGGTCATATCATTTCCTCACCAATTTCCTGATGGGACAGCCTGGTGAACTCTCTCACTCTGCTCAGAAGATTCAGACACTTCAGACGTGTCCTCCTGATCATTGCTCCAGGTATGCTCAGACTTCTCAGCGCTGTTGATTCCATCATTCTGATTGATGTCTAATTTGACCCGTTCACAGTGTTTTGTATCTAATCTGTTGGTAAATTTTCTGACAACCTAATCAGACCACATCCGGCCAAATTATGGATATTGGATTTTTTCGACATCGCAATGGACTGGAGATGGTGAAGGCACTGTTTGGAAACCCCATATTTGTAATAAATCTAAGTGAAAACTCAGCCGCTGCCCAAGAGGTTATAGAAATGACTTTATTATTTACCTAAGTGAAAACTACAATAGATGTTAGTTTAAGGTAATCTCTAATAAATGTAATGTAACATATGTCAGCCGCTGCCTGAGAGGCTATAGAAACGACTGAGGTATTCCTATACTAAACCCCTACTACTTATAGTCGGAGGTGCTGCTCGCTACAGTATAATGACTCAAATGTACTCCTAGGAGAACAATGGCGACTCCATGGAGTGGTGGCTATGCTCCATGGAGAACAATGGCTGCTTTAGCAGACACCGGGTTTATCCGGTTTTGTCAATTTGCAAAGCATATGATGTATGATCCAACTTGAAAGTGTGAGTGAAACACACAGGGATTATGTGAGTATGGTGAATGGATGTCAGGGGATTGATTATGCATGGGCCATACAGGTATTGAAGTTTGCATAGAAGAGTTGGTTTTCAACACTTTGGACTGGGAACTTCACATGTGAGACAAATGACAGGCTGCGAGCATTGAGAAATCCAGCGGACAATTGTAGCTGTAGCTGCAGGTGCTAGCATGCCAATGGACCACTTCAACATCCCCAAACTGGAGCTACTGCAGCACTTTGCTCAATCTATAAAAAATATGGGGTGCATCATACAATTTACCGCCAATGTTACCAATTGGCTACTCATCACCCATTGCAAGCACCCCTTCAGTTCTACCAATGGCCAACTCAATTTTGAACTGCAATGTGTCTGAGTGCTCGACCATTTGGAGAAGGCCCGTCTGTTCAATCTCTATGCTACTCTGCAAAACTGATATGCCCTAGCAGTTCGATTTTGTCACAGAACATATCTAATATACAATTATGAGACCAATGCTGCAAAGTACTATCTTTCTCGGCTGCCTGAGGGACTATGTCGCCAAAATTTACCCAAAACCGCCTTCCTCTACCACCTGGCTTCCTTGAAAACACCTCTTAGTGAGTGAATACACTAACGTTATCTTTATACTCACCATTGCTTGCCACAGGCCCTGGATCTGCACTTAGTCACATTTAACGAAGTCGTCACTGCCCGTGTAGTCTTTGTCCACTTTGCTATGGATCATGATACCACAGTAGTAGATACTGCCGTCCGCGTTGGCGTACACAACGCGGATTGGAGTCTTGTCCTGGTCCTTAACCTTGGTGTCCTTCTCCCATTCTTTTTGTTTGGCACCTTTCCAGAAGACCGGGTATTCATTCAGAGTTCTCTTGCCGCTATCGCAGTTGTAGAGGCCCCACGCAATCTTCTCCTTATTGCCGAATAAGTGAGGATAACTACTTTTACCATCTTCGAAGCCAGCGGTTCGGGCCTGGTTTCGTGTTGTCGACGCTGACCTTGAAAGGTTTGGTGGGGGAACTGTTCTCGGTAGGTTTGCAGGTCTGTGGGGTTGTAGGCAAGGTTAGCTGTCTGCCTGGGTGGCCTGTTTGTACAATGACACAGGACTGAGAGAAGAGCACTGACAACAAGGGCGCCTACAGAACTTGTGGAGGCGCGTGTAGAACTTGTGAAGACGTCGTCCTTGACGACAGCAGTTGGATTTGCAAAGACGGGTGCTGCAACAAGTGCAAGGGCGAGGAAAACTTTGGTGAAATGCATTCTGAATGTCTTTTTAGTAGCGACGAAGAATAAACTAACTATAAATGCGTGGTCTGCAGACAGGAGAGACTCATAATGGTTGAACAGCGAACAGCTGCGTTTTATACCACAATGGATGACGGGACGAGGCTGGCTGAAATGGAAACCAAGAAACGCTGGAGTGTAAACCGAGTGACAATACTGGAGCGTAAACCGAGTAGCAACACTGGAGAATCCCGAGGTTTTGAGGTTGCTAGAAGTCATTTCCGGCCAATGGAAGCAGTACATCAGCAAGAGTACTCTCTCGTTGTTGGGCTTCGTGAACCCATGATGATCTGAATCAGAGAACCTGATGTTTAGCAAAAGAGCGATGACGTCGGCGGCGAACCTCTGGTGACCTGACAAAGGAGGCAAGAGATCATCCAAAGCATTAAAAAAAATCGCAATGGGCTCAGATAATACATCTTCCTGTTCTTGCCGGTGTGGCTTGTGTTCATGTTTCCAGTGGTGTCGTCGAAACCAGAGAAATTCAGGATCGGATCCTCGGAAGCCCGACATATCGAGCCTGCAGGGATTTGACATGATCGTTACGAGTGGTACAGTGCTACAGTATGAGAGCTTATACACCCACCATCGCATTCCAATACTAGGATGAGCCGCTTGATCTGCAGTTGTTCAGAGATGACGAAGACAACAAACACGTATTCTGCAAGAGAAGGCTCCACACCTTGGTCAATGGCGATGTAACACCGTCCAAGACCGCTACTGACTTTGATGCCTACATTGTTGACGAAGCCAACATGCGACTCAAAGAGATCATGGAGCGGCCGGACCCAAGAACCCTGACACTTGAAGAAGAAGGAGCAGGGCATTGTAAGCATGCGTGCGATCCCACCAAATCCCAGCGGCAAAATCAAGATGGTCTTTTCATTGATCGTCAAGTTGTGTTCGGCCTTTCCACCGCATCATCCCGGGCAAGACAAGATTATCCATTTCCTTGAGACGCTGAGAGCCCTGCTGGAGCACCAGTTCCCCGATGGCGTTCCTGCAGAAGACCACGATGATCATGACCAGACTCGAATGACCATATTATGGTCGTTCGGAGGAAACTGGATGGCCTTGGCTGAAGTGTTCCACATGGAAGCATACGGAGTGTTTTATTTGTTTGTCGACAGTAGTGAACCATGCTGACTTAAATCTTTTGGCAAATAGAATATTCGTATCTATTCTGACATCGAGACTCCTGGGAGCGAAAGTCAATTTCGCTGGTGCAGCTGGCAATTTTCCATCGCGCATTACCACTTCAGGCTTCATAAACTGCGGGTTTCTTTGGGCGATATTTTACCCTTCAGCGACAACTATCCTGAATTGGAGAAGCGCAAGGTCGGCGGAGCGAACAGAATTGGCGGAGATGTGGTTGCGGGAGCGCAGTGGATTATATGACCATATAAAGGCCATTTCGTGTACTAGCAATGCAAAAAGGGGGAGAAGATGGATGGGACGTCCTGGGACAATGAATAAGGGAGAGATGGAAGCTGTGGAAGGATCAAATTGTGTTTGTCGCTGGGATTAGAAAGGTCAAATCAGGACTAGCCGTCTTTGGTGCTGCTTACGTATGCGCGCTTACGTTCAAGTCTAACGGTGACAGGAATCCCAAGTTGATAGTGAAGTATTTGCATATACTTCTGGACACAGAATGGTACGATGGAAGTTCGCTGCACTCGCATGTAGTATCTATGCTGGCTCCGTTATGGCCTCGTCCAGAGAACGAGAACGGTTTGACGAAGACCTCCACATTCGGCCTCTTCGCGACGGAAAAGTAGCTTCAACGTTCTCTTTCACCACCTTGCTACAAGATGCTAGCCCAAGGGATCCATTGAGCCTAGCATACGACGACGAATGTATGTGAAAACTCCACTTACGCCATTCGTCTTCTCATTACAAAGGGCTACCTACGCAGCTCAGCACTACACGCTCTTCCCTCTGGCGCTCGGGCAGATACTTCGCACTTACGCGATTACAGAGCTGCACTTGGCTCTCAATGCTGGGAAATGGAGATACGAGTCTTGGGGATTCCCCGAAGAACCGGGAGTAGGGACTGGTGCAGAGCTGTGGGCATGGATGGGAGACGGAGCTTCAACCACGTAAGTAACGACTCATTAACATGGCACCTACCATAGCTTGATCCTCCTGCCACTGCAGAATTGACGAACGCTGGCAGGGGCTTCGTAATGCTCTTGCCGGTTTATTCTGTGCTTCCCTGGGGTCCATGGACGACCAGCGTACCACTTCACCATTCTTGACATTCACCCCAGAAGGCTCTTTGCCTAATGCAACTCTTCCTTATCGACTGCGACATGCTACTCTACCTTCAGAACACGTATGTACAGAGAATCTCACGCCCTTCCTCAAACTTCTCCCCTGCAAGTCGTTGTCTGGTCTCGCCCGATTGCTAAACCCACACCGTTTATTTGACGCCGATTGGCATGGCATGAGCGTTCACGTTACATGGCGTGAAGGCCAGGGTGTAGAAGTCCGCTTGATTTTTCAGACCGTCATCGACCCCATTCGTAATTCTGGTGGCAAAAGACGAGGTGCGTGATTTGTTGCGGTACAATGCACTTACTAACAACTATTATATGCGCGTTAAAGACTGGTCATTTGAGTCGCTTTTTGGTCGAGTCGTTGAAAACAGGTGTCCCGTTGCTACTACCAGCCGCGTTCGAATCCAGTTGCCTAGCGAAGAGACGTATGCCATCTTGCCAGATCCTACAAGTAACGCTGACAACATTGCTACATATGATACATCAGTTGGTCGGTGCTCGTCGATCGCCTTAAAAACTTTGTTTGACGATTAGTTTGTAGGGCAGGACCCCTTAGATGTCTCGATGCGATGGCCAGAAGAATATGCCTTCCAGTATCGTTCGTAAATCTTACCGTACTTCTCAATTCTGTCATTTCTGACTAGAAATTACAGCCCTAGATCTCCCTGAGATTCCTCTTACCCCTCTCACCCTGCAACGAACCCTGATAGGGTCCAGTCAGGCCCAAGGCCAGCTGTCAATAGTTATCCAAAACACCCTATCATCCCAAATTCAGACCATCTATCTCGAGACGATGCCATGGCTCGTGCAGTTATATATTCACACACTTCAAATACACTGCAACGGTGTTCAGCGAAGTAAGTTATTTCCCGCTAGTAATATGTATACTGACGAGTCTGATGAGTTTCGACAGACGACCTGATCTCCAATCTGTCATATACTCCATCCGTACCCCACGCTAGGCCTGCCATACTGCAATCAGTTCTGACGTTGCCACCCAAAAGCACGCTGCGGCTTACCTTCGATATCACAAAGTCGTTTTTGCGGTACACTGAGCATCCACCTGACGCTCAACGAGGCTGGGACTTACCTCCAGCTGTCTTTGTGCCTATCATCAGCGTTGGAAACAGATCAGACGTCCTTCCTAGGCTATACACTCCTACTCTACTCGTGGACCTAGCGACGCCAGATTTCAGTATGCCTTACAACGTGATCATACTCAGCTGTACTCTTATGACACTGATCTTCGGAAGTATCTTCAATCTGCTTACAAGAAAATTCGTCATAGTTGACTTGAAGCAGGGCAAGGAGCAGAAAGGTAGTTGATTGCGTTTGTACAACCACATATATCAATACTGTTCTATAGAATAGACAATCGCAAATCATGTTCGCTCTATATGCGAGACAACAATTATGAGCATATAAAATAGGAGTCGTATACATAATCATAATCCGACCGATTAACGAACGCTCTACTAGAAAACCAATGTACAGTATGTGGCCCAAGCTTGTGGCCATCAGCATCTATCTAATTTTATCATAATACCCTACGAATCACATACCGTCAAAAACAATTTTATAGCGGCATAAACCACTCACCTCGTATGTAAAAGCCTAGAACAGAGTATCATCATCTTCAATGGACCGGTAGCCCGCTTTGACCTGCATCTGCTTCATGCGTGAATGCACTTCTTGCCATCGATCAAATATGATAGAACCGCCATGGATGAACATCATGTCCAGCCTCGGGAAGATGTCGAACAGGAATTCGGCAACATCCGAAGGATTCTGGATATCCGAGTCACCCACGTTAAGAGTTTTCAAGTTGTGATTGACAGGCCCTGCCCCGAGTTTGTGCTCCGCTGTTCGCTCTACGGATGTGGCATCCATTGTGATATGCAACGAATATAGATTTGGGCAGCTTGAGACCAGAGGTAAGATGCCTTGTAGGGTGACCTTCCTCGTAGAGCTCCATGGAAACCTGGAGAACGTGAAATCTTCGAGGTCCGGCCACGACATCGCCGCATCACTAAGGAAATCGTCGTCCAAGTCGTACAGCCCGAGGTTCATGAACTTTATAGTCTTGAGTTTGTTGAATTGGAGTAACGGTCGGAAAACGGAGCTATTGAAGATGAAAGGGGCATCGCCGCTGAAGCTCGATTGCATGTTGTGCCGTACGCAGATAGATCGAAGGGTGGAGGGAACGCGACTGCTTTGTCTCAGAGCGTTTAAGAAGTCGGCTACACGTGAAGCGGACTGTTGTTCATCGACCATAACCGTGATTTCTTCCAAGTAATCAGACTGTATGAGGTTGAATAGTGAGGTGCATGGTAGTAGCGTATCTGTATGGAATTTAATCCGACGTAAAGTGGAGAAAACGCCGTGGCTTCCGTGAACGTCCAACCCTTCTACGAATTTGTCGATATCGAAGCTGACCTTCAAAGACAAAGACAAGTCCTGGAAGAATCGCAGTGATGAGAGCTCACGTATTGATCGCGTGGACATAGATAGGAAGCGGTTCACGGTTAGCTCCCGAAGGTAAGGGAGGTTAGCCGTAGTTAACGACAGCACCACCTGGTGAGAGCGAAAACACGACGACAGGCAAAGTTGCTCGATATTTGGAGCTTTTCGGGGAATTTGTTCAATCAGAGCGTCGATCTCACATTCGTCCACTTCCTGGGGGATGTGGAAAGAAAGATATGTGAGCTTGGGACTCAGAAACGGAGAGATATAGCGGAAAAAGTCGGCGACTGAACGGTAACCAGATATGGAGGTGAACGTCAGGCGAGAGAGGCTTGGAAGAAGGCTTGGCATATCACAATTTTCCAGGAGGGAGTGTAAAATATCGACGTTTATTTTTGGGAGGAGACGTTGGATTCGGGGCAGGCCAGGATTGTTAGCACCGAGGTGTTTTATGCGGGGCGCATTGGCCATAATCCTGTTCCAGTCAGAACGAACTGGAGTCCTTTTGAAGAACTACAGTATCCATGATCCGTTAATGGATAGAACTGTTTGACGCGAATATAGTTCAGACGTACGATGATATTATCTTCTCCAACCCCCCACAAGTCCTCAGGCGCGCACATGATGAGAGGTCCGAGCGAGCGCTGTGTACGCCAAAGAATTTCCAGAGCAGGCTCTTGAAACCTGCGGCAAGTTCTTGCTAACGCAGCAACATCTCTTGTTCCCCGTTTATCGTCCTCGTAGACGAGCTCGATGATGCGTATGAGCATCTCGGTTACGAGAAGACAAGGGTGCATAGTGCTGGATATCGAACTGTGTATATGAAGAGTATTTTACACCTGGTTTTCCTTTTTTTGTTCGTGTGCAAGTGGAGTTCGTCCAAACGTCACAGCAAATTTAACTGGGTTTTGAATCCCGCAGGTATCCCAGGCCTCTCCGATCGTTCCTGCACGCGCCGATGGCCCTGGACCGTCAAGGCTTAAGCGGACTACAGCCCAACTCCTATACTGACATCTTTAGATGATGGTTTTCGTTCAGATCAGCCCTCTGCACGCACGAATGTTTTGATACCGGGATCTAGCGTCCAAGGTCTTCTTACCATAGGTTCGGACAGTGAACCTGTCACGGTGGCTGTCACTGTGGCCACAGCCTGAGTATGATTTGTTTGTGGCTTTGAACTTGAACAAGCTTCTTAGTAGAGGTACAGGTTTCTGGATGCATCGATACATGAGTACAGTCTTATGATGCTTTTACTTGTTGCATGAATCTGTGTTCACTGTTCTATCCTGCCTTTCAAGTTGACGTCGTGATTAAAGGTGTGCTTTTTGATGATTCTCATTTCTACTATTGATCTGAGTCTACATAGTACAGGATAGCCGAAGAATGGAAAGTGCTGTCTTATCTGCTCTCAGCATGCATCTTCTGTTCAGGCTCCAGGACCAAGAAGAAGATTACTATACACATCCTTGAGTGAAAAATTGAAAATTTCAGAGGAATGCGCTGTAAATATCTTACTGGAAGATGAGAAGGACCGGTATTGTACCCACCTAATCATGTTTTTTTCCCTGTCCTGTCTCGAGTATATACCACCCCCCATGGTACTCACCTCGCTGTTGGATTATCTCACCTCCATGGAATCACACTAGATGTCATGTAAGTCTTCAGCAATCTACTGATGAACGCCGATCATCGCTTCACAGGGACTCTGAAGATGGCATATAGACTCAGCGCTTACCTTAGCTTCACGACTGCGCGCAAGCTCGCCCGACACCTTGGCATCGACATAGACCAGAACGAGGACGACGACATTAATTGGGACAGCGAACTGCGGCCCTTTAAACACTGGCCCTACGCCACTGGACGATTCATTTCAAGGCTGCATGTTCATTTCCTTCTTCCATCCCATTTGAGAGCATGGACTGTGGTGACCGCGGAGAGAGCAAAGGGGGAAGAAGGCTTGACTATTCGTAAGAGTGCTGGGTGTCTGCCCGAGGGACAAGGTACAGCGGCTCAAACAGTCCCTACCCTGGAGACTGGGATGAAGTATAAGAGTGAGCATGAGTGCTTTCATCTCGACTGCAAGGGTTTCTGCTTGTGTTTGAAGAAGTAAATCAAAATTTTCCAGTGGCCAATTCTGCGTATAGTTGTCACCGTTCATCTTAAATCCGACAGATTTCCTCACAGGAATTCGAACAAGGTTATTTACTGGGTGGAGGAAAAAGATCAAACTTCGACAGGGAAAACGAGCCACCAGGGCGGATTGAACTCTGAATCTTCGCATTTCTTTTCATTCACGTTGCAGTAAGCAAGCTTTATCCGTGTTACTATAGAAGTCGCAGACTGAGAAAGACAGCATTAATGTGAGTACCAGATCGTGGCATGGAAGTCCAGCATTTCGTGGCAAAGTAAGCCATCAGTTAGGTACATGTCGCAGTCATCATCAGTCATGCTGTCTGTCTGCCAATGGCGGCGGCGACGAGCATGACTGAAGTTGGCATGCAGTCGCATCTGTTCTAACCTAGTGCTAACTAGACTATACAGAATACACCCCTCGACATTTTCGTAATACTTACGGTTGATTGCAGCTCAACTGATTATGGTCACAATTGTGCGACTTTTATGACCAAGGAGTGAAGCTTCATCTCTAGCATTTTTTATCAGAAGTTCCATTACAAGATACCAATTAAATATGGCCTCGGTTCAAATCATGTTTCTTACAGTGTTTTAGAGGTACTAGTGTATGGGGGCTGATTAGCACAACTGATAAGATAAGATAAGATAAGATAAGCAGGCCGACGGGATATTTTTCAGAGCACCTGGTGAAGATCTTGCGTCCAAAAGTGTTGGGATGCTTACTGACTCAGCTGGTGTGAACACAGCTACAACTGTGACTAGTTTATAATCCTCGCTTGCGCACGATTTCTGTTACGCCTTCATCATGCCTCTTCCACCGCCCCTCAACTTTCCCGCATGGCTGCAGAACAACTCGCATCTCTTGCAGCCTCCCGTCAACAATTTCTGTCTGTATAAAGGGGGCGACTATATCGTCATGGCTGTAGGTGGACCGAACGAAAGGAAGGACTATCATGTGAATGAAACAGAGGTTCGTCTGTGGCCTACAGTTTCAGAACTATCACGATTGACGGGGGCTTTGGATCCACAATAGGAGTGGTTTTATCAGTACAAAGGGGGCATGCTTCTGCGTGTTGTTGATGATGGCGTATTCAAAGATATTAGAATCGAGGAGGGAGAGATGTTCCTGCTGCCTGGTGAGTTGTTACAATTCTAATAGATCTAGTTATTGGTTCATTTGCGTGGTTTATCAAACATTTGCAATGACAGGTAACACTCCTCACAATCCGGTAAGATTCGCGGACACTATAGGTATTGTCATTGAAAGAGTCAGACCCGAAGCAGCCATTGGTAAGTACAAATTCGGAACCTGCTGGAGTGACCATTTAATGCGATGTTTTTCCCATAGACCGCCTCCGGTGGTACTGTCGTGAATCTGTGCACACTGAGCCGACCATCATACACGAAGACAGTTTCCACGTCACAGATCTGGGAACTCAACTCAAGCCCCTCATCCAACGCTGGATGAGCGATGAAGAAGTGAGGAAGTGCAAGAGTTGTGGGGTGGTTTCAAGTCCTAAATGATCACGATAACTGGCGTGACAGAAACTGAGTTAATTATCGGTATGAGGTGTATTTGTATGAGCTATTCTTGCTTGCCTGCCTCCTGATATTGATTGGATTTACTCAAAGAAGATAACATCTTACACAGATTGCGAGAGTAAATTCAAAGTTGATAAAGATATTGATCTCACCATGGCTAGTGTCTAAACCAAGCCGCGGTTCTACAGTTTGAGCTTAACAGAGGCATTTTGTCTGTTGATTAATTCTGCTGTGGTTTGATATCCACTGGTCGTGAACATCCGAGCTGCAGAGAACTTGTAAGCCGTGGTTACTACGTGAAGACTGAATGTACCACAACACTAACTACAGCCCGAGCTTGCTGTATGATGTCAAAGGCTTATCATTCTTTCATGCTGCTAACGATGCATACGAGGAAGCCGTTCGATTGCTTTTAGCGATGAATGATTGCACATCAACTCGAAATTCTTCTGTAGTTGCACACCACTCTCACGCACAATGTATTAGGGAAAGTAGACGTTGTTCGACTACTCTTGGCCAGGGACGATCGGTATGCACCCCCGAAACTATAGTGGCTTAACTCTACTCTCATTTACAGTCGAGTGGAAGAGTGTGGAGATCGTTCGAAACTTGCTAGCAAGGCAAGATGTGGATATAAACTCGGAAGGCGATTGTGGTCGCTCATCACTCTAGAAATGATATCGGCGTAAATTTTCAAGTTGTAAACGTGACTCACCGCTGCACTGCGCAGTTTCGTTACGGACACCAGGACATCGCTTACTTGTTTCACGGGACTATACTGCACTCGACTTGAAGAACGCAGTAGGACATACTCCACTTCATTGCGTCGTAATCGTTCACGACAATCATGGACAGGGTGCAACCTAGTGTACAAGAGAGACTGTGGCACAGCTTCTTCTGTCGCGTGACGACATTGATGTGGAATTGGAGGGTGAGGATGGCCTAACGGCACTGATGCTTGCATGATCTGTGGATGCTGTAGACTTGGTGAGCCTAATTGGAGAATATATTGCCAAGTCGAGTCATATAGAGGTAGGAATAGCTCGAGCAAAAGTGATGGAATAGAACATTTAGGCGCTGTTGTCCTTCGAGCGACGTGTCAGAAGCTTCAGGTTATCATACCGCCCTGTACGAGATGTAGGAAACCACAGGATAATACAATGTTATGGTATGTGAGTACTGACAATGGTAAGTCTCAACATGGGTCGACATTATCCTTCGAATGGACTAACTTGTGTCTATTATCCTCCCGTAACGTTCACTGGCATGCTTCAGCTGTTGTTTTGTTGGGATATGTAGTTCACTTTTGAACGTTCCATGAGTTATTCTCGGGCGTTTTGCGACATTTCCATCACCCTGAAGCTTTTGGCTTGTTGATAATTGACTGCATGGTGTCATAAACAGACTGACCTATCAAGACAAATGTGGTGTACCTACTGGACATGTTCAGCGAACCACACCCGTACTCCCCTAAAGCTCATGCATCGATAATTTTCTCCTTAGGGCACTTTCTCTATTCGGCGCAGCCTTATCTCTCTCCTTTTTTTTCTTTCTGGGAAACATTAGTTCAATATGTTATCAGTGAACTGCGTGGAAGATAAATATCGTGAAACGCACCCGTTACAGAGATTATTGGATGAAGGAAAACACTGTCGTTGTTGGCTGATATGGGGCTTGGGTCGTCTGATAATATTTTCACGCATATAATGACGCTAGTCCCTACTTGACTAAGGCCAGTGTGTATTATTCCTCTAAAAAATTTGGTCGGGACACCTGACTTTGACAAGCCAATACGTCATGCCATCAGAAACACGATCAATGGAACAAACTTGACAGAGACCAAACAAGACAACCTTTTCAGGAGATAGTCTTGTAGAGTGATCATGGCCAGACTACGGGCAGAAGTCGCAGGGGTTTAGGGCGATGCTGCTGAAATAAGGCGTTGCCACCAAATACGTACGGCGTGGACCAAAGAGAATCCTAGAACACGGTTCAAATGATGAGTCCTTGATAACTCAGAATAGCTGATAACTACGACGTACCTGCAAAACGGCGTAGACGATAGTAAAGAAGCATCATCATTATCAAGTGCTCCTAAAACGGGGTTCCAACCCACTTGTTGAGATTCGCCACTAGTTCAGGCGTTTGCCGTTCCCAGAAAGTTGTATCTCTGGGAACTTTAGTGGAAATACTAGGAATAAATGGGGCGGATAAAATCTGGCGTTCTATGTGAGCCCGTATAAGTGCTGAAGTCACTGTTCCTGTCATTCACGAATGACTGCACGACACCCTTAGTTGGAGTATCGTTGACTGAAGTAGTTAGACTGGTCAAAATCTTTTACCAGCAGCTTTTCTGATTGCGAAACCCTTTCTTGAGAACGATGCCAAGTATGACCGAAGGCCCTGAATCTCAACGACAGAAGAGAAGGTAGGTTAGGAGAGGTGCATTGAAATAATAATGGGGAACCAACCTCAAAATCTGGGAATACAAAACATATAGTACAATGGTCGCATCAAACCAGATAGATATATCTGCATATACCGATACTGAACTGGATACCGTAGTATGAATATTTCATGATTGCTGTACCACCATCATTAACGGGTGGGATCAGAAACGCAAGGCAGAGTCCCACGGCTAGCAACAGAAGTACCTCTAGCTTCGCTACACCTTGAGGATCACTGACGATGTTCTGATAACACAAAGGAGTAGAAGTATCTCGATTCGCAGAACTGGAAAAAATGTCATCGGTGCCGAGTGAGCGCTTGCCTTTCGGATACACTTTGAAGAACTTACAGTACAGTATAGGTTTGTCCGCTTATTTGTATGTCGCATCAGAAAATGTGCATACATGCCTTATCTGAAGAGTTAGCATGATGGAAGCTATAATCATTATTTGTTATTGCAAACTTTTGGAAAGTGACTTGAAGGACGGTGCTACTACGCTCAGAGAAACAGAGACAGTAACTTGAAAGTGGAATCATTTGGTTACGATTACCACGAAGACATGGGGAAATTCGAAGAAGGGCTTACGGAGAAGTTGGATGATGATTTGGTCAAGAAAAGCTAGCACATTTCTCCGCGGCCTAAGCTCCGAAACTCCGATGGATGTTAGTACGAACGTCCGACTACAAGCTACGACTTGTCTGATATTCCGCTTGGAGATATCCTACCGAACGCGACCTAGCTTTGGAGTGCAATGATGAATTACACTGTATCATGAAGGTATTGTCAGTCTGAACTACTCAAGTGTCAATGTTGAATATGACTTGCAGGAATAGCAATTCTGCACACGCTCTATTCCCTACCCTCGGAACCGAGGTGCTAGCAGTATCTTCCCTCTTGAAGTCTCTTGAAGCTGGCTTCAGCAAATCCGAAACCTCCCCACTAATTACATTTCCGCCCAAACCTTGTAATATCATGCCGAAGCATCCTTAAACCTTCCTTCTCTTCGACCATAGTATCATTCTCATCTCTTACGTTCTTTACCTCAGCTTCTCAACGTGCATACTAACTCCGTAGTCCATGCTGCCAAAGTCTGCCTTAGTATCTAACTCCGTCCGTAGCTGGCCTATATAACCCTATCCTTTCACCACTCTGAATTTCACTCAGCTCCTACCTAAGATTCGCTAGCTCATTTCGCGCTCAAATTTTCAGTATCCAAATCATGCGTGTACTCTCCATCTTTACCACCATCGCTTTGAGCGCCATTAGCTGCCGCGCTGTCGCTGTCGATGTCTCCATCTCTTCACAAGGGCTGGCCGTCCCGTCGGTCGGTCTCGATAACACTTCCGTGGAAGAAACCCCTGAGTCCAAGTTAACTATCCGTTCTGAGGAATGCCTTGCTATTCCGATTCTGGAAAATGCTTTTTCCAGTATAAAGCCCTTAGCTCAGCAGCTCAGTACGTCCAACGTTCATTCACCTGGAAAACGCCTCCTGCAAGCAGCTATGTTGTTTGTCTAGTTGCGGCTTTCTCCTATTGTCACTTTTTATTTTTTATATGATAAACTCAAGTTTGTTTGTAGCTGTAGCAACGACCGGTCTTGATGGGATTACGTCGCTGCAGGATATCGTCTCAACCATCAGTCATATCACCACCGAAATAAGTCAGACTACCGAGGCAATCAAAGGCCTTCCGAGCGACTCTGCGCTATCATGCCATGACATCACATCGACTCTCTCGTCTCTCCTGCAGGTAATTATATGACCCATTGATGATCCATGCATAGGCTAATGTCCACTTTCTCGCAGACTTTACTCAACGTCGTTACTTCGCTTCCTTCCATAGCTGCTCAGCCGGGTCTTGCTTCGTCCCTGACTGCTTTGTTGTATGTTCTTGCCCCCTTTTCTCATTGCTGTAACAATGGTATTGAAGCATATATTTGCTTCAGGAATGACGTCAAAAACGTTCTGCAGGTTTTACCTAGCGTTGATGAGACGCTCGCAGATGTGGTCCGCACCGCCACTCAACTCATCAACTTTCTTCTCAACTTAGTGGGAAGCCTCACTGGAAGCCTGTAAATTCCGACCGAAAAGTACCGGTACGCGTTGGAACAATTTTGAGTCCTGTCGTTTCTTGGTGATTAGTATATACGTGATACTTCTTGATTGGATGATCATTGCGGTCATGAATCACACGATAGAGCAGTGATTGTGGTGTCTTCGCTTTTTTTGTTATCGTGGTATATAGCCGTGACTATTCTTCGTAAAACTGAGATAGAATCTGCATAGTTCAAATGATTGGTGGCTGTCATCGCGTTTATCAGACGCGATAGACCACGTGACTCGAAAATGAGCATTGGCACTCTTGCTTTCAATCATGATGTGCCGGTGACATCTACTACTAGTACAAACGTTCATGCCAGTGTATACTGGGCATGCAACTGGCAAGTTGTTCGAGTGCAACACGATAACGTGTAAAGCATAGTCTTGGTGCGGATAATCTTGACGACACATCGTGCTATTGCGCAGGTCCACAACTGGGTAATGCATGGAGGCTGACAAAAACGTGACACCCCTTTGACCTACTTAAACCTGTTTCACCATAGCTCAGAGCTCCACTTCCGTCTAGTCGTCTTGTTTCGTTCGACCAACTCACTGTATATACTCATCTACTGTCAAACACGCTTGCGAATCCCCCACTGGCACATACCAGTTAACGACGCTCCAAGCCTCAGCCTTTTCACTCCAAAATGATGCACTACAAACCACGAACCAGCTTCATCTCCGACATTCCCTTCATCGTCACTGCACTTAACACCACCAGACTCCCCCTCAAAGCATTACCTCCTCCCCCGCCTCACAAGCCGTCCCAGGCGTCCTTCAGAGTCCCTATGAGACTTTCGAGCTCTTCGCGCCAAGCAGCTCCCCTGTCGCGGCCTGGACTCAAGCTCAAGCCACTTATCCTGGTTGAGCGTCTTCGCAGGGGGTTGACTGCGTTCCCGCTACCCACTGCAAATGAGTTGCCTCGCGTGATGACGGAGCTCTCTCGACAGACCGCGCCTAGATGAATGGTTCAGGATGCATCATATTATATCCTCACGCTATTGGACGAATACGAGGATTTTGCAGTGCTACCATTGACTGTAGCCCTCCGCATTTCTAATAACTCTTAACGGGACGATCACGATCAAGGAAGGACCTTTTATTCTCGACCTCAACGATATTTATTTACACATCAGCAGTGCCAGACATAGGCGAAGAAATCGCTGTATTGAATAGCACACGAAGTGGATCGTCTCCCCTGATTCATCTTGTATCTTATACTCGAACAACTACTGTAAGGCCGCTTTTACTATACAACACAAAACCCGTAGTGCATACAGTGCATACTGTTTTGGAGTCTAAATTTTATAATCAATGGTATAAGCATAATACAGCTGCGATTTCTTTCATTGTGCTGACATGACCACGCGATAGATAGATGAATACATAAATTTTGCTGCTTTGAGCGTTTTGTTACTTCCTCATAATCACCCTACTCCAGAATCCATTCATCCCCGCTCTTTTTGATGCCCACTGGTCTCTTTTCATCTAGACTGATGCGGCCAGCATTGAGGATCGCAGTCGTCAAAACAGTGTTCGCAATGGTCGGGTAGCCGTGACCATCGTAATCCGAGGACTTGGCGGTACCAGCATTGACTTCACGGGATGCATCAATGAATGTTTCTATCGATGTATAACCGTATCCTCGTTGACCATCGAAGTGACCAGTCTCTGACGGAGAGTATTTCATGCTATTGTCTCTGTTAAGTAAAAGAACTCGAAGAAAAAGAATTGACGTACTAGAAGGGGTTGTACCATGTTTTGCCAGTATCATCCACAGTGATATCATAACCACGATGTGCTTGGTCTACGTTGATGTCACCCTAGCAAACAGTTAACTTTTCACCGCCAAATAGGCATTCGAGACTACTAACCTTTTCGCCCATGTAGTACCAGTGTTGAGCAGAATGTACTCCAGATTTGAGAGGTGCAGTCCATGATGCCGTGTACACGGCGGTACCCTTATGCTTTGGACTCTTCAAAGACTGCCAATCGACAAGGAGAGTGATCGTGTCCTCTGTTTGAGGTACACAGTTGTATGGCTCGCTTGTTGCAATTCCAGTTGCGGCACTTGCAACGACACGAGTCGGTACAGCCTTGTCTTGCAGGATCCAACAGCAAATATCGATATGATGCGATGACAGATAGTAGCTATATCAGTCGAGATGTGGATCAGGATACCAGAAAATGTGTAATGGGAATTTGGTTACTCGCCTAATGTCAGAATCCTTGCCAGCCCAAGCCCGGAAAGTTTCCAGTTGACTTTTCGGTTGACTCATCCAAGCATTGAAGAAATTGAACTCGCCGAGCGTTGCGGCGCGAGCTTTAGCGTCACTGTAGACTGGATCGAAACGTTTGTGATGCTCGACGAAACAGACAACGCCTTGTTTCTTGGCAGCTGCAATCAACTCGTTGTGGTGTGACAACAGTTGGGTTGCCGGTTTCGTGACCAGTACGTGGAGGCCACGCTCGATAGCGTACATACAGATAGGAAAGTGCGTGCCTAGAGTAAAAAAAGTCAGTTTGTGGCGAGGGGGCGTATACTAAGACTGACTGTCCGGGGTGAAGACAATGACCGCGTCTCCAGGAGATAATTTGTTGATTGCTTCTTTATCTGTCGTCATATTGAGACTTTTCTCAGAGAACAGTTATATTAAGAAAAAACATACAAGCCTCTGGGTCTACCTTCCCCTGCTTGGGGAACTCCTCGAATCTAATGGTGTTAATGATCATGAACGCGCAAAGGCTAATTGAGCTTACGAAGTGTCCATGTCCTTATAAGCATTCCCAATCTTGTCCTGTAGATGCTCGCGAATCGCAGGGAACTTTGACCCGTTGACTCCGACCATGCCCAGATTACCGACCTAAACACAGCCCCTACAAGTTGAGTAGACCATCGCATGACATAATTTTATAGCGACAGACCTTGCCTAGACGTCTGAGATCAAACATAGTGAGACCGACGACCTTTTGTGATAAATTATGAGCATGTCTTTGTACAGTAATGGCGATACGCCTACTCCGATCTATAAAGGAAATTCTAGTTATTGAGTATGCAGAGCACCCCGTACAAAGTCAATACTCACTTTTTTGTCAGACGTAGATGCTCCAGATCCAGTCCACCCAGTAGTGTACTCTCCCTGGCAGCCACCACAGACCGTTAAATTGAGGCTATATATGACCTAGTACTGTAGCTACTTACAGTTCCACCTGCAAGAACCATTAGCTCGGATATCGTGTCCCCATAGCTCAACCGGACTTACACATCAAGACATTGAGTTTGGTGAGATTCGACATATTACGATCCTAATGGGCTGAGAACTAACGGGAAGACGGTAGGGACGGAATGAGCTGCGAGAGTCTGCAAGAATACTTCGACCTTGATCATTATAAGAGATAGAGGGGTTCTTGCGGACCGAGCCGGACCGAGTTCGCCGTGGTAGCGGCCCTCCGCGCCAATTTTCCGAAGATGTCCGGGGACCGGAAAAGTTGATACTACTGCATTTTGGACTTGGAAGATATTGAGAGGGCCAGGGCTGTCATTCATCATCGATATCCGAAGTGGAGTGTATGAAAAAATACAGTCGCAGCTTTCACATTTCAACCGAAGACAAAAACATAAATATCTTGACTGACCAACATTCATATTCCGAGTGAGCATCAGTACATGTGTCAGTTCGACAACAAGCATTACTCCCACCACCATACACTAGCAAAACTGAACCCACCAGAGTGCCCCCATTAACTGTCTATAAGGCTCTAGTCGAGATATGGGACGTGGTTGTATCTTAATGTTGAGATAACACAGCGCTCCTTCATCTTGTTTGAATCCTGTTCGTAGATAGGACCAGAAGTTCTCACTCTTCAATCATTCGTGATTGTACTGCCTAATCCTATATCATAACAGATATTCGACTCACGCGAGTGCTCGAGTACCTGTAGCTGTAGGAAGGAATGTAGCGTCGAATGTGCGACGATAGAGCGAAAGTGTGCAGATACAACGACAGATGTTGAGCCTGGGATTGCATAGATGAACGAGCCAGTATCATTTTGGAGAGCGTAGGTCATCCGGACCGATAACCTGGTTATTTTGTGAGTAGATAGACACAAATACCTGGCATTCGCGAACACATATTTTTCTATGGGAAATGATAAACAGGTAGGTCAAACGGTAACACTCACAGCTCAGAGCATCCTGTAATTGATTCGAACACCCAGAGCACTGTCTATACAAAAGTTAACTCAGATAGCAATTGACATGTCGTGTGTAAGATACGATTCACGGATTTTCTGCGATAACAACGAAGTACTGCTCCTGGAATTGATCAAGAAACTGAGATTCAGAACATCAACACGGCCCGCGCGTGTTCGCGATTGTAGGTTGCGAAAAATTCGACGTTAATTTCCGTCATAACGCTGGGCTCAGAGGGGGTCTTCATCCGTCGAATTGCTCCAGCCACTAAACATGCCATTGAAGTACGATAGCATTCACAATTACTGAACGCAGTCAATAGATCAGCTATGCAGACAAGTTGAAAGTGCAAGCTTATGAGAAGGAATGTGGTCAACAGAAGAGTTCGAAACTTCGAACAATAGAATTGGGAAGAACGGTCACAAAATGTCACAGTGAACCCCTTTTATGCTCGAACTTGAACTTTTGTTCGTTGGAGTGATCGACATCATGGTAATAGTATTGGAGCATTTTCTGTCATAACTCTATAGAAACACTATATATTGTGTCTCCATTTATATATAGAAACCTGCCAGGGCTCTACACAACTCGACATTCTGCTAATTTAGAACTTATGGCCAGCCTCTCCATTGCGCGTGCCTATCAGCATTTCTTCGAAACACATCCCAATCGCACTCTAGCCGTCACAGGTGGTGTTCTTAACGCTTTAGGAGATGTAGTCGCACAGATTTCGCAAAATTTTGTGAGTAGCGGTTGTCCTTATTACAATATTCTCAGCTTACCGTGGTTTTGATATAGGTCAGCTTGGGAGAACATGAACAACGTCCAGGTTTTGACCCCGTACGAACTTTACGTTTCTTTTGCTTTGGGTTTGGTCTAAGTGAGTGTCGAGTACTATTTGTTCTGTACAAACCTTGAATCCTTTGTCGGCGAGGCCCCCTACTCGGTCGCTGGAACCTTTTCCTCGAACACCGGTTTCCTCTGCGAGCACGGCGTGGGCTCAGAAAAGTCAGCTTCAAGGCACTTACGAAGCGAGTCGCGGCTGACCAGCTGTTAATGTGAGTCTGTCATCTGTGTTACACCATGGGGCTTACCTGACTTGAAACAGGGCGCCATTAGGTGTAAGTACTATCACGCTTGGAAGATTATACACGAACTATAACATGGCCTCACAGCTCTTCGCATTTGTCGGCTCGATGGGAGTTATGGAAGGCAGAAGCCCTGCACAGATACAGGAAAAATATATGGATATGTATCGGCCGGCTCTCATGGCTAATTGGCAGGTGTGGCCCCTTGCTCAAGTATGCGTGCTCTTCATTCACCCTTTCGTCCTTGTCATATTGATGCCTCTAATATTTTAGATGATCAACTTTCGATACATGCCTTTGCCCTACAGAGTACCCTTCCAAGCAACGTGCGGTGTCTTTTGGACGCTCTACCTTTCAATTTTGAATTCTAGGTAACTGTATTGGATCATAGCTTAATACAAGTTATACTGACTTTCTCTCAGGGAGGACGAAAAGCAGGATAAAGAACACTCAATCAAGAAATAATTGGTTAGAGATTTTATAGAGTTACTCTCCCCTCCATCATCTTCTGTTACCTTCAGTTCCTGATAATTTCCAACTTATAGTAGCTGTATTATCTAGTCTTTCATCGTCGTTAGAGTTAAATCTAGAATGCATGTAGTCAGATGTAGTCATGTAGCTTTTGTTTATGAAACTACGCGGCGGATGTTTACCCCAAGGTTTTTACCTTGTAACTTGCAATTGCAATTCTTGGAATCGTTTCATGCAAACTCATTGATGGCTTCAATAGTAGAGTCTCTACTTCCACACATTTGTTTCACTGCATTTAGTCTCTGGACAAAATACATAGCAAAGCTTTCACAGTCGCCCACCATACGCAGACTGTACTACCCGTCAAACTGATTTTTGTTCGTTTTCGAGGCTGCCACTTCGTTTCTTCTCATTTCACAACATCATCGATCGAGTTATATAACGACCTCACTGGGCTCAAGGACTATGGGCATGGCTTGATGACTGGGTAGGAACGGCCCACTCGGATTGACTTCTATACATATATAAACTGCGAAAAAGCGACCATTTCTTCAGTACGTTTCTTATGATATGTCACGGTTTTCTCTTGTTCTAAACTTGCAATTATAACAGTAAAATCCCATCAGGAATGATCCACCATCTTAAGCACGACATATCTTACGAAGGTTAGATCAACTTGGCAATGCCCCTTGTGACACAAGAGCTTCGACATATCATAATTGTGTTATAAAAGGGAGCTCATGGCGCCTATACATACTTATCCTGTTTCTCGCCTACTCGCTACTGAATAGCCATGTCTCCCAATTCTCGAATCTGGTTCGGTGAGTGCATTACTTGTTATCGCAGAAATTTCTCATCTAAGTTATCCCAAAAAAAGTCACGGGTGCTTCGTCTGGGTTTGGAAGGTCGATAACTGAGCTATTACTGAAGCGGGGAGATAACGTCGTTGCCACTCTACGAAAACCTGAAGCGCTATCGGATCTCTCAGCACGATATTCAGCTGATAGGCTTGTGCTCGCAAAGCTCGACGTTACCAAACGTGATGAGGTGGTGGCAGCATTTGCTAAGGCAAAGGAGGCGTTTGGAAGGATTGATGTCGTATTCAACAATGCCGGGCAGTATGTTGTAGGAGAGGTAGAAGATCTAAGTGAAGAGATCGGTCGTCATTTGTTTGATGTCAATTTCTGGGGCGCGGTCAATGTCACAAAGGAGGCTGTCCGGTTCTTCCGAGAAGAGAACAAACCTATCGGGGGTAGGCTCCTGCAAGTATCCTCAAGGATGGGTATTGTCGGTTGTCCTTCTTCAGGCTATTATGTCGCTTCGTAAGTGGGTCAACACTTCAATTAGCCATTCGCTGAAGTGTATGTCAACCGATACAGGAAGTTTGGTAAATATTCGCAAATGTATGATAACCGCAATTAACTATTTCCTTCCAGCCTTGGAGGGCCTCAGTGAATCACTGATAAAAGAGCTGGAACCCCAGTGGAATATCAAAGTGTGTATTTATTCGCTTTATTTTATCATATATCACACTAAAATCGTCGCAGGTCACGATCGTCGAGCCAGGTCCCTTCCGTACGAAAATTGTGCAAGAGAATTTGCGTGAAGAACCTCAGCATCCTGCATACTCCAAACCTGAGTCGGGTAGCTCGCGGTTCCGGGCCTTCGTTCACTCCAGCACCTTTGGTGGAGATGCTGATAAGTTCGTGGCGGCCGTAGTGAGGCTGGTAGACGCTGATGAAGCTCCTGTGAGGCTTCCGTTACACAAGAACACTATTGTATCTGTAAGGGAGAAGGCACAGAGTCTCAATGATGATGCAGACAGATATGCTTCCTGGTCGGATGACTTGTATTTTGACTAAATGTTTGGCCCACTAGCCTGCAATGAAATTGTTATCATGTTATCGTCTGACTTCGGACATTACGAACTCATATCCCAGGCTGTCCAAGTCTAATTCTAATCCTGTCCTCCACCAGCTGGGCTGAATTTGTAGACATCCAGGGTCATGTAGGGCTCATCTACCCACCCTTGGTGTCACCTTCGGGGTGTTCCCATACATTGTCAGATAGGGTTTTTATATAGGGGCAAACCTATCTAAGAGTTGAGTCGAAAGAAGTCTCCCCTTACAGTATATCCCGGACTCCAAACCAGTCAACCATACAGTATGTGTAATGCTATATCCTAGTGCTTGTTACAATTGACATACCAGCACCTACTTACGCTTCACTTTTTGTACTTTTACTTTTTATTTTCCAAGTCACATGACTGATCATGTGACCATTTACTTTACTTTACATTTTCAGACTTTTTATAAAGTCACATGACCAATCATGTGACACATCACCTGACCAGTGTCTAGGCTCACCATGTGACTGGTCACATGCTAAACATTGGACTTTTAAACTTTATGTACAACTGTACAGTACCTCATGTATTTTAATATGTATACAGGAGCAATACATGGGGAAGGACTCAGTGAGTCCTCCTGTTGTCTAGCACAACTAACTTGTTGAAACCTAAGGGGTGATCCCTTCCTTCTCTCTTCTCTTATGCTTGTCTGAGTTGTGCGCTAGAGTAAGAAACTCTTGGTCATTACAGTGCTTGATTATATAATTATCCAAAGATACCTGGCATATAGCCAAAATCACTACCAGAGCCTCTTCAGGGGCTTACTCTACTCTTTGTATGTTCTTTGAGAACCTCTGTGGCCAAAAGGCAGTAACAATGGACCTGGTGTTACCAAATCTGGCCATGCTCTGGCACCAACCGAAGCACCTCCAGAAACCAGAACAACGGTAATGCTGCAATGAGGCGTCACCTTGCTGACACAGTGGAATATCAAGCTCTGATTGGTTAATTTTTACATTTCAGCAATGTACCAATATTCACCAAAATTTTATGTATCCAGTGGCATGTTGGTTAGTACTGAAGCATGGCCAGATTTGGTACCACCAGGTCCATTGTGGCTGCTTTTTGGCCCTGTCAGACATCCTTTCATGCACATTGTGAAATTGAATTTTTTTATGTAACAGTCACATTGGTTCTGGTGGGAATGAATGTAACAACTAAAGTTTTACACTCTAGTGCACAGCTAACACAAGCAAAGAAAGATGATGGTGAAAGAAGAGGAGTTGGTAGACTGTAACAAGTAGCAACCAAAGTTTGAATACTTTTGTGACAATACCAACAATATTCTATCTTGGGGCACTGGAGCACAACCATCAAAAGCTTCAACTCAAAGGAATGGTGGTGTAACCTATGAAAGGAGGGAGGTTGTCTTCACTAATGTTGGTATACACTAGGAGAGGACTTGCAGTCCTTCCCCATGTATTGCTCCAGTATATATACTACAATATATGAGGTACTGTGCAGTTGTAAATAAAGTTTAAAGTCCAATGTCTAGCATATGACCTGAGTCTAGACATTGGTCAGGTGATGTGTTATGTAATCAGTCATGTGACTATGAAAAGTCCAAAATGTAAAGTAAAGTGAACGGTCATGTGATCAGTCATGTGACTTGAAAAGTGAAAAGTAAAAGTACAAAAAGTGAAGTGTAAGTAGGTGCTGGTATATCAATTGTAACAGCTTTAGCACATATTGAAGGTAAGCAAGCAAGGATGAATGGGGGAGAGGATAATCTCCCTTAGGTAGGACCAAGTTAATTATGGGTAAATAACAGGAGAACTCACTGAGGAGTCTCCTTGATCTATTGAGGTATTTATACAAGTACAGGCTTTTTGTATATATTGTACTATACAGTTGATAGAAATGGTGGCTGATGATGTCATAGGGCACAGCCTGTGTGACTAGCTCCACTTTGTGGGAGGTTGTATCTAAAAATAAAAAAGCAGCACAGTGCAAGAAAGTGAAGATACAAGTGGAGTTTTGAAAGTAAAGAAAAATGCTGTATGGCACAATAGTTTAAAAAAAAGTTAAAGTGGAGACTGAAAGTTGGAAGTCGAAAAATTGTGTATTGTAACACTACCCCCTTTTAAGGCTTGACTTCCAGGCTAGACAAAGTACTGGAGGTAGTAGTTAGATTTTTGGGCATTGGTTGAAAAAGGTCCAGGCTGATCTATGTGCTGTCCCAGCAGCAGACCTTGTAGGGATTTACACAGCTAATATTGACCGTGGGTACTACCCTCATTTGTTTTGGGAGTTTTAGCTCCACCACATTGAGCTTGACTTTGTCAGAACTGTGATCTTCAGAGGAGCGAGATTGGATTACGGGGATGAGATGGGGAGCAGAGCAGAGTATGAGGGAATTGACTGAGCTTGTGCGCTAGGCCCTTCTGCGGACCTTGATCCCTAACTTAACAGAGTGATTGGGTGAGAGTAGAGGATAAAAAGGTGGAATGGAGTAAAGGTCCTTTGGAGAAGGGCCAAAAAACTTAGAAGGAGACTTGTATATGTCAGGCAATGAATATGAAACTATATAACAACAATCAATGCCTGGCCAAGTCCTTGATGAAAGGCGGTGGATCGGAGTATGAGAGCTGAAGAGTATCGGTATAGGCATGAATCCAAACTAATATTGAACTAAAGAACAATACATGGAATATCTACTCCTTATATACTGAATAGTAGCGGTCAGGCCAGAAAGAGAGGAAAGTACAAGAGTTGTGACAACACCAACAAGACACAGTCTTGGGGCACTGGAGCACAATGAAAACAACACTCAAAAGAAGAGGAAGGGGTGGGAGTGGTTACCCATTAGGTTTCAACAAGTTAGTTGTTGGTAGACAACAGGAGGACTCGCTGAGTCCTTCACCATGTATTGCTCCTGTATATGGTACTATACAGTTGTAAATAGAGTTTAAAGTCCGATGTTTAACATGTGACCGGTCACATGATGAGTCTAGACATTGGTCAGGTGTTGTGTCAAATGACTGGTCATGTGACTTATGAAAAAGTCAAAAATGTAAAGTAAAGTAAATGGTCACATGACTGGTTATGTGACTTGGAAAAATAAAAGTAAAAGTACAAAAAAGTAAGTGTAAGTAGGTACTGGTATGTTAATTGTAACAAGAGTGGCCTGACTAAATGGTTAACCAATAAGAAAAAAAGGGAAGTGGTCTGATCTATTGTATTACTAATCTATG